AGGCTTGGCACTGCAACTGCTTTCTTTAAGTCCCACCAGAGGTTTCTCAATCGGATTTTAAGTCTGGTGACTGCGATGGCCACTCCAAAATGTTCCAGCCTTTCCTCTGCAAAACCATGCTCTAGTGGACTTGGAGGTATGCTTGGATCATTGTCCTGTTGAAAGGTCCAACGTCTCCCAAGCCTCAGGTGTGTGACGGACTGCATCACGTTTCCATCCAATATCTCCTGGTACTGAAGAGAATTCATGGTACCTTGCACACGCTGAAGCTTCCCTGTACCTGCAGAAGCAAAACAGCCCCAAAGCATGATTGACCCTCCACATGCTTCACAGTAGGCAAGGTGTTCTTTTTCATCATAGGCCTTGTTCTTCCTCCTCCAAACATAGCGTTGATCCATGGGCCCAAACAGTTCTAATTTTGTTTCATCAGTCCACAGAACACTATCCACAACTTTTGTGGTTTGTCCACATGGCTTTTGGCATACTGCAGTCGACTCTTCTTATTCTTTGGAGACAGCAAGGGGGTACGCCTGGGAGTTCTGGCACGGAGGCCTTCATTACGCAGTGTGCGTCTTATTGTCTGGGCTGAAACTTCTGTACCCACATCTGACAAATCTTTTCTCAGTTCCTCAGCAGTCACACGGGGACTTCTCTCCACTCTACGCTTCAGGTAGCGCACAGCAGTCGAAGTCAGCATCTTCTTTTTCTGCCACGACCAGGTAGCGTTTTCAACAGTGCCCTTTGCCTTGAATTTGCGAATGATGCTTCCTAAGGTGTCTCTTGGTATGTTTAACATCTTTGCAATTTCTTATAGCCATTGCCCTTCCTGTGAAGAGAAAATCACCTCTTCTCTTGTCTTCCTGGACCATTCTCTTGCCTTCACCATGTTTGTAACCACACCAGTAAATGTCTAGAAGGAGCTGAGTATCACAGTCATTTTAAAGCTGCCTAATTGGTGCTTATTATGCTTGATTGCTGCTCGGTGACATCCACAGGTGTTTTCAATACCTGATGGAAAGCACCTGTATATGAACCTCTGTTCTTCAGAGTGGTAGTCTTTAAGGGGTTGAATAATTGTGGCAATGAAGAAACCACATAAGAACCATTTACTACTGTATTACATAAACAATTGATGTCATTTTAGTTGCATTTGGGTAGTTACAACGTCCTTGTAGGATTTGATTCTGAATACAATTCCAAATGTACACTATAGTCCCTAAACCCCTTTACAGCATTGGGGGGTTGAATAATTTTGGTCACAACTGTATGTAAAAAAAAAAATGTGAAAAGAAAAACAAATTTTATTTAATTTCTTCATCTTTCAAAAAAGTGTGGCAAACAATTACAATTTTAAAAAAACTCGCTATGCTTCTTACTAATTACCTCAGACTGTCTACTTTCCAGAAAGGGGTGTTTTAAAGCCTCAAGAAATGAGGCCATCAGTACATCAGGATTGATCAATTTTCAAATATATATACCATAGTTTGTAGATACTATAAATTTCACACAAACCAATTAATTAACTCTTTTTGGGATTTTTTTTTTTTACCAATGACATGTAGCAGAACATTTTGGCCTAAATTTAGGAAGACATTTGATTTTATTTGATATGTTTTATAACATAAAGTAGAAAAAAATAGGGTTTTTTTTTGCTAAATTTTTGGTCTTTTTTTGTTTATATAATAAAAAAACACAGTGGTGTTCAAATACCATCAAAAGAATGTTGTATTTGTGAGAAAAATTATAAAAATTTAAATTGGATACTGTGTCGCATGACAGTTAAAGTACCTCAGTGCTGAATAGCAAAACATGGCCTGGTCATCAAGTGGTTAAACTAAACACTGAAAGCTGAGGTTTAACAGATTTTTTTCACGTATGTTATATAAATTTTGTTCATTAAAGCACTGTGTTAAATCATTGACTAATTGTTGTTTTCATGTCAGAGTACACGTATGTAAATCAACTTTGACATACTGACCCCACTAGTTATTTTACTATTGCCTCATCCTGTTGTTTTTGACAAGGGCATAATTCCTTTTTTTTTTTTTTTACCGCACCACAATTTTTATTACTTCTTTTTCTGCCTTTGTGGGCAAAATGTAAAAACAAAGAGTTGCCAAAAAGACATTAAAACTGCATTAGATGAAATATAAAGGTGTACGTTGTTATGTTTACCACCACTACATGATCATTAAAATCTATAGATAAAGCAAAAATATACAAAACTGATATATTATGGCAACTTTTTTCAAAGATCTTTATGTGAATTTGAAAATTGTGGTAATTGACCTTGAAATAACTAAATGATTCTGGTAAATCTAATATTATTTTCCTATTGAAAGTTGATATTGAGGTTTTGATTATATACTCTCATGTTTGTATGTTGCAAAGCCCAAATGGCAAAAATTGTAAATTATTTATTTTCCACAAAAAAAATGTTATTAAGAGAAAATATAGCATCTGCAAAACATGTACAGAAATCACACATTGAGTAACAAAGAGCTTGGTGCCTTATCAGGTAAGATCAGCATATAACTGGTGAACAAAAACGAATGTGGTCTCACCTCCCAATGGTGAGACATCCAAATCTGTCACATAGAAGTAAATGTCTGAGAGCTCTTTGGTAATTTAACACCAAGCACAGAAAAAAACAGCATCACTGATAAAGGAGCTCTAGTTTGCTTGAGTGTCAGGGCCAGAAAAGCTGTGAGACTAAGCTATGGGTGGCAGTGGGAGAACCAATTCCACCTGTAGGCCTGTAAGCTCTGGCTTCGGATGCATCACCTATGTTGTCTGTACCATGCAGGTTTGTGGGTTTGGTCCAGCACATAGCACAGAATAGGAGATTCAGGTGGTGATAATGGATTATGGCAAAGTGCAGTGCAGTGTTCCACTAAGCTTTCTCCAATTCCAATAGTACCCCTGTGAGCCTTTGATGCCCCAAGTGTGCTCCAAGTACATGCAGTGTGCCCCTGTGTCACCTGAAGAAAGCATCCAATACACCTCTGCATCATTTGGAAAGTCCTTTTCCCAGTGAATATGAACCCCTGTCCCCAACATATTGCCGCTGAAGCTAGTTAGAATTTTGTGTCAGAAACTGTACTTATATTTGGAAACCAATAGAGTGAAAACATAAAATTTTGTAGCATTTTCCCAGTAGCAATAATAATAAGAAAACATTTCAATAATAATACATTTAGCTGTATCGGTCATAACACATTGTAGGCAGATAAAACCAAAACATACCAAAGTCTTAAGGGAATAACAGAAAAACTGACCTCCGAAACTTGTTGTTAGCTCAAGAATATCATTGTTCCAAATAACTTGAAATAAATTATAGTGCTGGAAGGTTAAACCACCAGAAGATAATTAAAACTATAGTCATGGTAAAAGTTATTCACCCTTCCCCGTTGAAATTGGTGAAATTTTCCACACAGTTGAACCTATACTGGCATTTCATGTCCAGTATATTTTCAGCCTCTCATCATTCATGTGCAAGAGGCCTAACTAATGTTATAATAAAAATTGTATCCATGCAGTCTTGTGTGTGTTAATATTGAATGTGAGCAGGGTCTGGTTTACAATTAGATACACTAGACCTATCCAGTGAAAAAAGGTGGCTTTTACCTGCACGAATAACAGACACACATATTTTTCCTATCATCATTAGAAAGATAATAATTTAAAGTGTATGTAAACTTTGACAATTAACTTCTCTTATTCTCTCCTTTTTGGTTCATTTAAATATACCATAGCAAGTGTTTTTTTATATCTGTTTAATAGATGCAAGAAATATTGGCTGACCCTGCCAGAAATCTAGTGCTGCCCTGTGCACTCTGCAGTCCTCTCTCAGACAATATTACTAGAGCTGTGCAGCTTATGTACAGGTGAAACTCGAACAATTAGAATATGGTGCAAAAGTTCATTTATTTCAGTAATGCTTCCGACGTTGTTTGTTGTTCAGGAGCGGCTTGACAAGAGGAATACGACATATGAAGCCCATGTCCAGGATCCGTCTGTGTGTGATGACTCTTGATGCACTGACTCCAGCCTCAGTCCACTCCTTGTGAAAGTCCCCAACACTTTTGAATGGCCTTTTCCTGACAATCCTCTCCAGGCTGTGGTCATCCTGCTGCTTGTGCACCTTTTTCTTCCACACTTTTCCCTTCCACATAACTTTCTATTAATGTGCTTTGATACAGCACTTTGGGAACATCCAACTTCTTTTGCAATTACCTTTTGAGGCTTTCCCTCCTTATGGAGGGTGTCAATGATGGTTTTCTGCACAACTGTCAGGTCAGCAGTCTTTCCCATAATTGTGATTCCTACTGAACCAGACTGAGAGACCATTTAAAGGCTCAGGAACCCTTTGCAGGTGTTATGGCTTAATTAGCTGATTAGAGTGGGACACTTTGAGCCGAGAATATTGCACCTTTTCACAATATTCTAATTTTCTGAGATTGTGGATTTGGGGTTTTCATGAGCTGTAAGCCATAATCATCACAATTATGACAAATCATGGCTTGAACTATCTTGCTTTGCATGTAATGAGTCTATCTCATATATTAGTTTCACCTTTTAAGTTGCATTACTGAAATAAATGAACTTTTGCACGATATTCTAATTTTTTGAGTTTCACCTGTATGTGACTTTCTCCTTTTGTTAAGAAGGTGAGGAGAGGAGGAAGTGTTCTGTAGTCTGCACTCTCTCTAGGGTGACAATGGGCTGCTGCATAGGCACAGTACAATGAGAGAGGGTTGTCATCCTTGGACAGGAAGCATTACTGACAGGATCATCAGGTAAAAACCCTAAAAAAGGAAAACTAATGCAACCACCAAATGTAAGGACTGCTAAACTGCAAAATGTTTGTCTCCAGGTACACTTTAATTAAAGTATAACTAAACTCACAACAGTAAAACCATCCGTATAGGCAGTAAAGCATGCTTGATATACTCACTGTGGAACCTAAGAGGTTAATCATCTGCATTGTGTAAAAATGCTGTTTGATCCTGACTTCTCTGATCCTTCCCTTCTTCCAGTGTCCCCCTCTTATCTCCTGATAAGACATATCATGTGGAGACACTCTGCACATGCTCAGTTTGGTGTGTACTGCCGGGAACTAGATATAGTGACTGCAGGGTCCTGGGTTTAGTAACACTTTAAAGCTAATTTAAACACTGTAACAATATTGTAAGCTATGTTAGGAACAGAAAAGAAAATATTCTGTATAAAGAAAGTCATATTAAGAGATGGGCATTGGGTCTTAAAGGTTTTGAAGAAAATCAAGCCCCATGTCTTCTTTTACACCTTATGTGTATCTGTATGTTGCCATTCAGAAAGAATGATACCCTTATGCAAACAAATGCACTACCATTCATCGTGGTGCGCTGCATTGGAAAAAAAATGCAGGTGAATTTTTTTTTGTCCATTGTGGTGTATTGACAAGCCATTAAAGTTTAATTCAATGTGTGTGCATTAGAACAATGCTCCATAGCTGACAGGTGGCCCTAAACGGGTTGCAGTACATTGAGTACATTTTGGGCAGAAGTGCAAAGTGTGTGAGGCTGCTATGGAACTGTAAAAAAGCCTATTGTGTGCTCATAATTCACAATTGCAATGTACCACTGGCCTGACTAGTAAAACATATTCAGTAACTTGCTGTTGATATTATTAACAGAACATAATTTAACCACCTTCCGCCCGCCCTATAGTACAATGACGGGCGCAAGGTGGTTCTCTCAGTCTGATAGGATGTCATATGACGTCCTACCATTCTCACTGCGCATGCGCGGCTCAGGGACACCTCACCACACACTAGTGGAGTATTAGTATAGGGTACAGCATGGCACAGTCCAGGGCACATATATACATAGGGTCTCGAAAGATGTTAGGTAATCAGGAAACTGGCTATCACATTTTGAGAGACATAATATCTGCTTGTTACAGTTTAAATAAAAAAAAAAGTAAAAAAAAATAAATATATATATATAGTTGTCCTTTATTGTTAACCATTGCTGTTTTCTTTTCAGGACTGCCATTCAGCTGCAGCACCAGTTTATTCTGACAGCAACAGGGTCTTGCTCTCAGATTATACGTCAGTGCGTGCAGCGCTGTTTGAGGAGGTTTTTCATCTGCAGTTAAAAAAAGAACATATATGCCCAAGCATGGGGGCCTGGAGTGGCCAGTGGGGTGAATCGCCCCTATGCTTCAGCATAAATATTTTACAATATTTTTTGGCCCTGATTTCAATAAAAAAGTTGTTTTTTTTAAGTTACTCTTTTATTGTTAACCATTGCAGTTTGCTTTGCAAGAATGCCATTCAGCTGCCGCACCGATCTGTTTATTCTGACAGCAACAGGGTCTTACTCTCAGAATATACTTAAGTGTATGCAGCACTGTTGGATGAGATTTTTCATCTGCAGTTAAAAAAGAACATATCTGCCCAAGCATGGTGGCTTGGGATGGTCAGTAGGTGGATCTCCCCTATGCAAGCACATTTTTTTAAAAAAAAATATTTTTGGCAGAGATTTCTTCATCCACATCAACTAATGTGAATGGGGGAATCTGTCCACTCACAAATCTGTTCAGGAATCTGTTTGTTCACGGGTTGAAATAAAAAAAATAACATTTTGTTTATGAGCAACATTAGAAGTAGGTGGATGCAGGGCGGTATATTCTAATGGTGAGCATACCACACACTTTTTCTGGCAGAGATTTCTTCTCTTTTTTTCATGTGAAGAAAAAGTTTCAGAAAAGGCTTGGTCTTCAAGTGGTTAGAGTGAATGAATTGTGGCATAAGCTTCTAATGCTGGGCATAAAATGCCAAGATAACACCCAGCCCAAATGACCCGTTTTTTGGAAAGTACACACCCCAAAATATTTGCTGAGAGGTATGTTGAGTCAATAGAAGAATTTATTTTTTACCACAAGTTTTTGGAAAAGGACAAAAAAATTTTTTTTCACAAAGTTGGCACTTAAACGATATTTAATTTTTTTATTTTTCAAAACCTTTGCGAGAAAAAATTAGATCTGAAAAATGCTCACCATGCCTCTTATTAAATTCCTTGGGGTGTCTACTTTTCCAAAAAAGTGGTCATTTGGTGTGGGGGGGGGGGGGGTTGTCTTATCCTGGCATTTCAGGGCCTCCGAAACTGTGATAGGTAGTGAGGAAGTGGGATGAAGTTATGCACCATCAGGCTTTCAAAGTGGTCATTGGATTTCAGGCTCCTGTATGTGGCTCAGCTCCCAAAAAGTCTCACACTCGTGGTACCCCCATACTCGGTAGAAGTAGCAGAATGTATTTTGGGGTGTAATTCCACATATACCCATGGCTTGTGTGAGAAAAATCTATCATTAAATGACAACTTTGTGTAAAAAAAAAAAACAACAATTATGTCATTTTCCAAAAACTTGTGGTCAAAAAAAAAAGTATTCCATTGACTGAACATGCCTCTCAGCAAATAGTCTGGGGTGTATACTTTCCAAAAAGGGGTCATTTGTGGGGGGATTGTCCTATCCTGGAATTTCAGAGCCTCTGAAACTGTGATAGGCAGTTAGGAAGTGAAATGAGGAATTTACGCACCATAAGGGGCATTCAAAGTGGTCCTTGGATTTTGGGCTCCTGTATGCAGCTAGGCTGCCAAAAAGTCAGAGACATGTGGTATCTCCATACTCTGTATAAGTAGCAGAATATATTTTGGGATTTCCTTCCAAATATACCTATGGCATGTGTGAGCAATATACTATTTACATGACAACTTTGTGTAAAAATAAATAAATAAAATAACATTTTTTGTCATTTTCCAGAAACTTGTGGGAAAAAAAATCTTGCATGGATTCAACATGCCTCTCAGTAGATAGCTTAGGGTGTCTACTTTCCGAAAAGGGGTCATTTGGGGGTGTTTGTACTGCCTTGGCATTTTAGCACGTCAAGAAATGTGATGGGCTGTCAGAAAGTAGGAGCTATGTAAATTCCAGTATCCATACCATAGTTTGCAGACGCTATAGCTTTTCAACAAACCAATTAATATACACTTATTGGGATTTTTTTTTACCAAAGACATGCAGCAAAATACATTTTGGCCTAAAGTTATGCCAAATTTCAGTTTATTGAATGTTTTTTATAACAGAAATGAGAAAATATAGTTTTTTTCAAACTTTTCAGGCTTTTTTTGTTTACGGTGCAAAAAAAAAATTACCCAGAGCTGATCAAATACCACCAAAAGAATGCTCTATTTGTGAGAAAAAAATTACATAAATTTCATTTATGTACAGCATTGCATGACCGCACAATTGTCAGTTAAACCAGCACAACGCCATATAGCAAAAAATGGCGTAAATTCCAGTATCTATACCATAGTTTGTAGATGCTATAACTTTCACATAAACTAATTAATATACATGTCTTGGGATATTTTTTTTTACATGTAGCAAAGACATGTAGCAGAATACATTTTGGCACTATACATTTTTTATAACAAAAGACTGTGTTAACTTTGAGTTTTTTGTTTATAGTGCAAAAAATAAAAAAAAACAGCAGTGATCAAATACCACCAAAGAAAGCTCAATTTGTGTGAAAAAAAAGGACATTAATTTTGTTTGCGTACTGGAGAAACAATCAACCACTTTCCATAGCAACATTGAATCAATTTAATATAATTGTCAGCCATAAACCATCACTCCCGTTTGCAGTCTATGACCTGTTTTACATAGAAAAGTCATTGTTTATTTCTTTTTTCTATCACTATCTTATGTAACTTTTGTAGTCTTTAAACATCTTTTGAAGCAAATTGATCCATCACCTCCATTCTGTAGGTAGCCATCCTTGCATCACTCTTTTTTGTAGATAGCAACTCACCCATCACTGCTCTTTTTCTTTTTGTTCAATACATTTTTATCAATTTTCAAGGTTAGGTTCGACAAGTTGAACAGTACAGGTAAAAAAAAAAAAATCAACATGCTTACATAAGCCAATGTTACACTGAAAAATGATGCAACAAAGCATTACACAAGCAATACAGGAGTGGACCAGGGCTTAAAGTCAGAAAACAATATCAAAAGGAAATGCTTTGGGTAGGAGGTGTACCTCAAGTTATTGGAAGCAAAAAAAGGTATATCATAAAACTGAGTACAGAGGGAAGAAGGTTCAGATTAAAACACCTCCAACTTAGTACAGGAAGAAGAAAAATGGGAGGGGAAGGGAGTTAGAATAAAAGGGGATAAATGGGACAAAGCAAAGTGAGAGAGAAAGAGGGGGAGCGAAAAACAGCAGTTCTCAATACTCAGGTACCTCTCTCTTTCAGCCTCCTACAAGAGCCCTTTGGATCAAGAGAGGGGGGACATGATCCATGGTTCCCATGTCTTACGAAACTTTGCTATCTTATCATTGTGGAGGATTGTCATTTTTTTAAAAGATCATCAACTGAAAAACTTAGTATTTGACTTCAGCAAAGGGCATAGTCAGGGTTTTTCAAGCTCATTCTATAACTCTCTTTGCTGCTGTTAGAATGTGTGAAACAAGTCTGAATTGGGTCGATGCAGAAGGACTTCATAAGGATCCTTCCAAAAGGATTTATCCATAACCAAGTACAGCATTTAGTAAACACTAGTCCAACATCTTCACACTTTTGGGCAGACCAACTATGTGTGTCTAAAGGAGCCATCTGCCCAGCATCCTTGAAAACAGAGAGGAGGATGGGTTAGAATTGCATGTGAGACCCTCAGGGGAACAAGGTACCACCGTAGAAGAATCCTTTTAATTCGCCTCCATGGCAAGCATGTGGCGTTAACTCTTGGCCACATTCATCCACCTTCTATCCCAGTCCTCCTTCGAAGTGTGATTTCCTAGTTTAGCCTCCCACTTAGGAGGGGAGGGCAGCTCTTCACTGAAGCAGACAAGAGAGTATACCAGTGGTATAAGGCCAAGACACCCTGCCTTGTTCAGGAGGCACCCTCAGAAAAAGAGAGGAGAGGGCCATCTTGAGTTATGTGTCTGCAAGAAATAATGGATGTGTAGATACTGAAAAAGAGCTCTAGAATCCAGCTTATGTCTATCCTTAAAGCTTTCAGTAGGAAGATTCCTTAATCATGTAGAAAGTATGTG